CAGACCTCTAATTTTTTTATTTTACAATACCGTCCTTCATGGGTACATTAAAAATACGTCACATGGTCGAAACGTTGAACGTACGATTTATCATCTGCACTTCAGAGAGGTGTACCAGTTGGCTTCTTAGGTTAAAGCCAGAAAAACGCAAGGTTGTGTATGTTACCAGAAAGAAAGATCCCTAATAATGTACCAATATTCCCTACATAAAAACATATTTCCAGTATTTGCTGAACATAAGCTCTTGAGACTATGGCTCGAGCTAACCCTTTCATGGAACACGCATATGTATCCAATTTGCCGCAATGCCCGGACACTAAGTCGGGTCCTGAAATTGACGTCTTATATTTCCCTTTATAACGAACTCCTATTCAGTGGACACCTCTATTAAAGACTAATATAAATTGTTTTTGGCTAATTTCTATTGTTGAAAAACTCTATATTAAGCGGACACCGGACTGAGTTGATAATAGCAGTGTTGGATTACGTCCTTGAAATTGATTATTAAAATAGCGATCAATCAATACTTTTACAGTCTAACCTCTCCTTACGGACACCTCTCCATTACGGACAGTTCGTTTGGTCCCAGAAATGCCAAAAATCCTACATTCCCTACCTCTATAATACAGACACCTCTGTAAAGCGGACACTTGGTACTGTCCCCTTGGTGTCCGTATTAAAGAGGTTTGACTGTACAGAGTAACCGTTCAATGTCAATCGTTAACAAACATTGCGCAATTTTTACAAACCTCTATTAAACGGTCACTTGGGAAGGTCCGGAAGGCGTCCGCTTAATAGAGGTTTCACCGCAGCCTAGTCCCCAGGCGTTTTTGGCTCGGTCATTCCTGGACTCTACCATGAGCTGTGACGTCACCGAGAGATACTCACCCGCTCTCTCCCAGACTTCGCGCGAACAACGGATCAAGAGAGAACGCCTAGGGACTAGGCTGCTTTCACTGTATTGAAGAAGGTTTGGTTACGCAAACAAGGAAGGGACTAAAATAGCCTTCAAGATCCTAGTATTAATCCTATTAGTATAGTAGGGACCGAATTAATCCCTTTTTTTTGAAAGGGATGGCATGAAATTGATGGAGAAACATACGCGCCGATGACGTCATAGCCTCTTGTCTCCGAGGATAAGTTATGTGTTATTTCTTAATGGTTTAACCGGTTTTGACAGGTTTTCTTGTTATCTTTAGGTCGATGATGAGTGTCTTGGATTTCGATTGACTGATTAGAAACTAAGAAAAGTATTCATTGATTTATTCATAGTGTGAGGGAATAGACGTAAACTCGCTTGTGACTTGAAATCACAGTGGCCGTAGTTCCTGTTCCACTCCGGATAGGGCTTCTCTTAACATGTAAGAACGGTGATTTTGGCACGCATCTCTGTAACAGAGAGAAACTTCGCCGCTCCGGTCTCGAAAGTGGAGGGCCACATATCGGATAGGTCGTGTGCCACACTTTGGTGTAGTTTGAGCAGGTATTTGGACCGTAGCGGAAGTGAATGAGTAGAAGGAAGGAATGGAATCGCTGAGACGGAGGTAAATATTCAGAAGGGGGATTGGGATTTAGAGCACCAAACCCTATCGGCCAACTGCTAAGGCACGATATTCGATGTGTGTGAACGACTTGTTCCAGTTCTGTGCTGTTGTTGTTCACACTAACCGGCGGATAGCTTTTCGTGTCAGTCTAGCAGCCTATGTTCCTTGTGTGAACGTAGGCTGATAGACCTATTCGGCTAACTCAATATAAATGTTGTACCCAATTCAAACGCTTTTGGAATAAAACGTTTTGTTTCAAGAATTTCCATATCATTTAAATGTGAATGCCACATTATAATGCAAATGCAATACACAAAGAATCTTAACCCAGGGAGATCTGAATTGGGTACAACATTTGTTGGCTCCTCACTTGAAGCGGAGTTAGTTTCAAGTAAGCACATTATTCAAGTGAACTTGGAAATCTTGAGTCGCTCGGTAGAAAACATGGCTTCACACTGGTTGGCACAATATATTACTTGAAGTAAATGCTGTCAATCTCTCCGTTAATTAGAATCTTGGAACCCCTGCACGTGTACATCCTGCAAATGGCTTCCATTTCTTATTGGTCAAGTGTGTTCTCAAGTGTGGTTGTACACCATGCTTGGCGACGAACTTCGGCTTCTTTGCACTACGAAGGCTTCCATGGTCACCAAGTAAAGTTGAAGTAGAAACATTTTACCCCTTCACGCTCAAAACAGGTGAAGTATGAAGTGTGAAGACAATAACTGAGTTAGCCGAATGGGTCTATTCTTGGCGCGTGCATCGTGCATATTCAGTTAAATGATATTTTAGCATAAAATAAAAGTTCATGTCGGCGAGTAATAACCTGTAAGCCTGCAGATTACTATGGTTTTACCCTACGTGGTGTCTCCTTATTTTTTATACTCAGCGTTGAACAATAACTTGCATCTCGCACTTGTATTCTGAGTGACTATTTACCCTCATCAGTAACTACTGAAAACAGTTTGATGTCTTAGTGGCCTTCCACGCAGACGTTCTTAGGCTGCGTGCAAACAGACCCAACAACTCCCAACATTGTTGCGTGCTTGTTGGCAGTGGCATGCAAACGGATGCAACAACTCCCAACAATGCTGGGACCTGCAGTGCATCGTGGGAAGGATACAACCCATAAGTCTTTGTAAACCATGCGTAATGTGAGTGCGCGGCTCCAACATTGTTTAGCCTGCGTGGCAGGCGTTAAAAGGGGAAAGGGAAGGGGGAATTTGGGCGCGCGAGAGTGTGGTCTCGCGCCCTAATTCCCTTCCCCTTCCCTTTCGAACGCCTGCCACTCAGGCTAACAATGTGGGAAGAGCTGTGCAAACGGATCCAACATTGTTGCGCTACGCTTCGACGATCACGAAACAAAAGAAATGTTGGAAGTTGTTGGCTGAAAAGTTTGACTGGTTTCAAACTTTGTACAACAACATCCAACAACATGCAACAGGATGTGCAACCGGACGCAACATGTAACATCCAACAATATTGGGAGTTGTTGGCCAACAATGTTGCGTCCGTTTGCACGGGTCTTTAGGGGTTCGTTGCACGAGAACACTTTGGTGTCCCGCTTTGCCTTTCAACTTCATGGACAGTTTGAAAAACTTTGAAAACTTTTTTATTGTTATTATCATAATGATTTTGCTGCTGTTTAGGCTTGCGAGCCTACAACCTAGCTACCCCCTCTTTCTCAACCAATGCCTCGCTCCATTCTATTCCTCTATGGGGCCTGCATCGTTAATCTTACCGAACACAAGCGACCTGGAGTTACCACCCCTTTGCATTTAGGCGGAGAGAAGGTCCTTTGGGACTAGGCTTTACCCGCTTTGCCCAAGGATAAAGGAATTAAATCAACTGTAAAAACCGTGGACGAAGAACTTCTCGTTTTACTTGGCGTTTTTGGGCAGGGAAATGCTGCCTGCCCCATCCCCTCAACTTTGTGCTGATGCCTCGTCAGGAGGGGGCATGACAATTCTTCTGGACTTGGTTAATTTGCCCTAGGACATAATCTCCGCCACAGGGGTGTGTGAACCATGCTCGCCTTGAAGTATAGGTATTATCTTCTTTGAGGGCTTCTTTGAGGGACACAAGTTTATCAGTTTTTTCACGGTCACGTGTTTACCCTCTTTAAATAAAGGCGTTACCTTACCTTACCATTATGGAACCCCTCGGCATGGTGCCAAAACAACTCTGGGAAGCTCAAGCAGTTGGTTCAGACAACATTCAGTCTAAATTTAAAGCAGGTCCTTCCCTTAAAGACGAAACACTTCGTGAGACACAAAATTAGTTGCAATGGACCCCCACAAGAGGCGGCAGAGCGTTTTCAAACATAGGGTGGGGGAGAACCGGATGCTCATCTTCTACTTAGCCATACACATACGCATACCCATACCCAAATTTTCCAAAATGCCTTTTGCGTTGTTCGTTGGCATAAGCAAACCTCTTTGCAATCTTTTACAGTGTCTAGTGTGTCCGTAATCGAATTGTGACAATGCGTTAGTAGGCAGTTGTTCTGGCGATCCTGCTTCATGGTGCTTCTTAGGTAGTTCTTGAGTCGTCTGTTGGTAGAAAATGTGCGCTTTGAAGTCGCCTATGTCACAGGTATTGTCAAATACATCCGTAAAAGTGTTTTTCGGCTGCACCCCAATTTTTTGTTTGAAGGGGGGGCATGGACGTCCCTGTCCCCCTCCTGCTTAGCTGCCTATGCCCCACACAACTCCTTGAAATACGAGGTTTTTTTTCAATTTTTGATAGGCAATGCATGTGTGACCTCAAAATCTTCTAAAAGTCAGTCCGAAGGCTGGGCTTAACCTTTCCGCAGCTAGTGTTCCTGGAAATGGACAGCATTTAAACACATCTCACATTTTTTTCTGATGTCAAACCTTCCTTTAACAGCCAATTCATATGTGCCCCGCCCTTCTGGAGACCATTTTCCCACCCAGGGTACTTACAGCTGGACAAATTCCCCAGTTAGACGGGCACCGCACACTTGGGATTTAAAGAAGGTTTAGTTTGTGGTGGGGTGGAGGGGAGGGGGGGTAGGGAGAGAGGGGGAAAAACTGTTTCGGTCAAGTTGATGAACTTTACAACCTAACTTGTTTTTGCCTAATAATCTTGACTCAGCATTAATTCACGAATATCGAATTTTCTAGAACTAGGGTTGGAGCAGTGTAAAATAACATTCATTCTGCAAGAACGTTTAACAGGACTTTTATTAGAAGAGGATCCTTTTTCTAGGGGAAAAGATCTGAAAAGCTTGATCATGGGCTCCGGACGCGGGTTGATTCATTGATTATACAAGATTTTCATCCTGTTCTGACATGGGCGTCAGAACGTACTTGATATAAGATATACCATAGTGTAGCGACGTGACGCCCCGTGACGGCATCCTCGTCACCGTTTTATGACGTCACCCTTCCCGAAACTGATAGCAATCGCAATGTCCATGTCGAAATTATCAAGATGGCCGAAGCAGCAGTGGAGAGACAAAATGAGAGATTTTATTGTCATGAGTGCAACAGAGAAGTCTCCCTTAATGTACAAGTACGTTTCTTTACATATTGATTTATTTACTTTGATTTTTCTCCATTTTGACCTTACGATCGTGCGGAAATGGACGCTCAATGTTGGTGAATTTAAGCTTAGTTACGTAGTTTCGTTTTTACTTTTGTCAATCATTTGCGCGTAAAATTGGCACTATTGACAATGGTTTGTATCAGGAGGGCTTGCTTCATTAGTTTATGATTTCGCGGAGGTATCAAGGGCTTACATAAAAGTCTTGGTCGGACTATAATTAAGGAAAATTCGTCTGCCATACCACCTTTCTCCAAAGGGAAAATCGCTGTACGTCATTTAACACACATCACGAATCATTTTAACTTCCTCATGTTGCAAGTTATTCAATGGATTATAAACAAATCATCCAATCTTGTGCAAATTTGTAACCTGTAACATTGGCAAAGGCTCATCTTAAATCTCATAATAATTTATAACATACAAATTTAATTGCACAACGACTTTGTGGTAGCCTTGTGAGCTGTGTTGGTGATTGCTTTTGTTAAGTTGACCAACATCATGCTTCTGGGAAGCTGTGTTTTATAGTAAGACCCTTGTACCTGGCATATCTAATCAATCATTCGGTAATAAAAATAATCGAAGTTAATCTAATTTAATCAAATGATTACCTTTGACCATTGATAAAGTAGGAAATGAAAAACCTTCAGCAAGTAAATCCTGTTTCGTCTTGAATTAATCGCCTCCTCATTTCTCATCTCATCTCCAAGCAAGCAAGACTTAACATTGATATTAAGAGTGTTCTTGTTATTCATAGGAAACAAAGGAAATTGAGAAACAACCTAGGTTAAATCAAAATTAACCCAGGGGCGGATCTAGGGGGAGGGTGCAGGGGGTGCACAACCCCCCTGAGATAACCTGCGGTTTTCTAATACAACTGGTATTCTGCAAAAAAAAAAACTATGTGGTTTATTGGTGTTGAAGTAGAGCAAGAGACGAGTGCACCCCCTCCTAAAAAAAATCCTGGATCTGCCCCTGTAACCTGAAATCAAATTTGACCTGTAACATATATACACATATCAATCTTTCTCAGACCAGATTAAGGCTATGATTTGGATGTAGTCAACAATTTGTGTGAAGTTAAATCAAACAAAATCGAATGGTTCAGTTCGATTATGTTCGACTTGTTCGATAATCATACTCATGAAGAAAACTGTGTTTGATTTTATTCAATTGCTGAAATACGATATTATTGAACAATTACCTGCAATTGAATTTGATAGACATTTTGTTGGGTTTTGTTTGATTAGATATGCCAGGAATCTAACATCAAAGCACAGGTCTATTTACTGTATTATTTTATTCGATTAACTGCCCTGGGCTCTTATTAAATTTTTGGACCTTGAGGGTTTGCGCTTATTCGAGGCTGGGTGCTTATCAAATTTCCACTATTTTCAGCAAGTGTAGTATGTTTATTTTGTAACAAATCAAAAAAAGGTAATAACAAAACGCGAAGATATAACAAAGCAAGTTTCTGTAAAATACTCTGAAGAAAATTCCGTCTTCGGGGAAGTCTCTTATTAGTACTTATTCATTTTGTTGGGTGGGAGGGGGAAGGGTGGTGGGTTTTGGTTGTGGGCGCTTATTTGAGTTTGAGTGGAAGGGGGAGGGGTGGGCGCTTATTCGAGGCTGGGGGCTTATTAACTTTTTCTGCCTTTAGGATGGGCGCTTATTAGAGGTGGGCGCTAATTTGAGGTTGGGCGCTTATTTGAATAAATGCGGTATCACAAAAATTTAATGTTTTTAATCAGTTAAGAGTTTGTTCTGTCAAAGAAGGGTAAGACAATCGCCAAACCTTCACATGTATCAATCTTGACCCAGAGGTGGACAGGGGCTAGACAGCTTGCTTGCAGAGTAAATCCAATCCAAATTAGTGTTCTCAAAGAATGACTGAGGCAGACAGTTCCACTGAATGGTTGTTCGTGGGTAGAATGAGAGATAATGAGAGGAGGTACTGGTAGATAAAAGAAATGAAGCTGTAGCTGTGAGAGTGCCGGGATCTTCAGAGTTGGATGTCTCAGGTACTCTCTGGCGTCAACTGGTACGAGTCCATTGTAGATCTTGAAATTTTAAGGAGTGCAAGCCGTGCGTCAGCTCTCCTCTCCTCCAGAGTTCTCCAGCCCAGGTCATCTAGCACATCAGTGACACTAGAAGTGTCATGGTATCTCCTTAAAGTCTACCTTGCGGCACGCCGTTGAACCATCTTGACCCTATAGGCTTCATTGTTTTCAACACCTGGTCTGGGGTCCCATATTGTGGAGCCGTATTCAAGTTGGGGGCATACAAAGCCCATAAATGCCATCTCACGTAATAAATTATATACATATAAGAATAGTTACTAAAATTTAATATTAGACAACAGAACCACATACAATATGTGTGCTGGACCACTGCAAACACACAATTTGTAGATGTGCAAAAATTTTCTAGAGGGAGAGGAATTTGTCCACTTTTTAAATTTCCTTTGTATAAGAAATACATCAGCCTGAAAAAGAATGTTCAGCACACACCACTCAAAGTAACAAATGCATGAAAAGCAGTGATCTTTTTCTTATTTTGTCAGGATTTTACCTGCTCACAGTGCCAAGGAGAATTTATTGAACAATTAAGTGACAGGTAAGAATTTATATTCTTAAAAAATTAATAACTGATACGTGGCATTAAACTATACCCTATGCAGGTCCCAGTGGACCGAAATCTCTCACAGTAGTGAAGTAGTCACCCATTTAAAATCTTAACTTCATTGTTACACCTTCCTTGAAGACCTTATGAATATTTGAATTTAGTGTATACCAAGCCATAAACATCGATCTGTGACAGTGATGATGAGCACTATATATTTCCTCATATGTCATTAAGAAAATCTTTAACTGGATGCCATCTTTGATCTCAAATATACATACATGTACATGTTGCAGGTCAAAATTAAATTCAGATTGAAAATTTTTAACCTGTCTATATAATTTTGAAATGTAACATATAAATATTGTTGATGGTCTCTTGTAGTGTCTCCATAGTTTACTCTTAATGACTAATGTTTTGATATTGGCTGCCACTTTAAAATATTGAGGAACCAACAACTGGCTGCTAGAAAAAAGTGAATTTCATGCCCTGACTGATACAAAATGAGAATGAGCACTGTAAATCTATTTACTTTTTTGTTGCTGCCATCACCTTTGTTTTGGGTGTCATGTGGTAAAAATGATTTTGCCATTTATATTTTTGTGAGATTTTCAATCATTGGTACAAAATGCCTATTATTCACCATCACTTTTTTCACTAGTTTGATAATAATTTCATTTTAGCCCAGAGGAAGAAGATAGTTTTACAGATGAAAGAGACCCTGCTGCACATTTTGCAGAGGTTTGTATTTTATTATTTAATTCTTAATTATTAGCGTGAGAAAACAGCCGATATTTTGTGATGCCACCACTGGTCTGCCTGTAGAATGATGTCTGAGGAACGGGTGCAGAAATTCCACACTGATGAGGTGTCACATCTGGTTAGTGCTTCTCATTGGTTGAAGCAAATTTTCCATGCGGCACCACCAATCAGAAACACTACCTAGATCTGGGTAGTGACACATCATCAGTATGGAATTTCTGTGCTTATTCCTCAGACATCACTTCATGGGGAAGCCATCAGTGGCAGGGTTTTCAGGAAGAGCCGGTGGCTGGTAAAATTTGCCGGCTATTTCATGTGAACTTGCGCCAACTTTTCTTTGGAAATTACCCCAGTTTAAATAGAGTATTCATGTGCTGTCACTGAATAAAAAAGCCAAAATTTAATGATGTCTGTGTTCTGTTCAAGCACTCTAATTTTTGCTCCAGAATGCTGGAAATGCACGCTAAGAGGCCGAGATTTCAATTTTTTCCAGAAACTCCTGCCTTTTCTGCAAGTTTTTTCTTCTTCTCCACCTACTCCAAAGCTTTTGCCATCTACTTAAAACCTTATTAAAAACCCTGAGTGGTGTCAGAAAATGTCAGCTGTTTTCAAGACACAGTTAGATTACTTTAAAATCATTTGAATCTGAACAGCACTCCAGTAATCACTGATTATTACCAGCCCTAATGCAATACTTTTTTTCTAAAACCAGTGAATCTTAACAAGAACATGCCAAATAGAAGATAAAAAGTAAAAATCTATATTATTCATGGTTACCACTGGTCAAGAAATGGTCAGGGGAAAAAAAAAATTTTCAAGGTCAGGGAAAGGTTGAGGAAATTTCAGTTTGAGTCAGGGAAAATTTAAATGTTTGAAAGAAATCAAGGGAAAATGAAATTTTAAGAGTACATATTTATTCTTTTCCCTCTACATTAATTGTTTTCTTATATTTGAAATTTTTTTCTACATTTTACGGACATGAATCATGTTGTAGTGTTGTTCATTGTGGATTGTTATTGTTGTTAATTTATTATTCAAAATTGAACAACAAGTTATATCAAGGAACTATCAATTCATATTCACTGTACGTGACTTGCTGAAAGTATAAATAAATGGGTGGAGAGGATGGCTGTGAGGGAAGAGTAGAGGTATTATCAGGACTAATAACTGTGAAATTTGTTAATTCAGTTGGTCAAAGAATGTTACATTTGTCAGGAAAAAGTCAGGGAAAAGTCAGGGAATTTAAGAAATCTGTGGCTGTGGCAACCATGTTATTACATTACTGTTGTAACTTGGCCTCGATTGTGACCTCCTCAGCTCTGATACCATTGTGGTAGTGACGCTTCCAGCACATGCAAAGCATGCACCAGCAGAGTCCCATAGCTAAGAAAATTTGATTACCTATCCATCCAAGAAGTTTTGGTGGTCACTTGATTGCTGTCCGTCCATCCTTCTGTCCATCCACCCATCCATCTGCATCTAGCTAGTGTGGGAGCTTGCAACCTGATATTGCATGTCCATGTTGTGGTCAATTGATCAACTGATCGCAAGCTCAACTCTAAATGGATTTCTTTGCGATGGTTACAAGTTTATTGTTTGAAGTAAATTATAAATTTCTTAATGGAAGCTTTGATTTTGGCCTTGGCTAAATCTATATATTACTAAGATTGTTATTATTAGGAGTTGTCACAATCAGTCTGTACTTGAGTACATGTACATGTAGTTTACTTGTGGCTGAGATATCAACATTTTTTACATGTAAACTCCACTACCTGTGAAGAATGTGTTACCTTTTGTCTTGAACTATTTAGTTAATATTAAACTTCTTTATATTTTCCAGATTCTTCAGAGAGGTTTGTTAGGTGGGCTGGCAGCAGGTAACTACAAATACTTTCCTTTCCCTTGTGTTCAAAGACAGTCATCAGGAGATGAATATTTAGCGGGTGTGGTTTGGGGTGATTTCAGGAAAAAATATTCTGAAAACAATAGCCATATTAACACCAAAAAACAGGGGAAAACTGATTTGATAAGGCGTGGATAAAATTCTAGCCTAAACTAAATCAACAAGACTCGAAAAAGGATGGAATAAATCTCACCTTATGTACCTATAAGCCTTCATAGCTTCTTGAGACTTCCTTGCCTATTCTTATTTTTAAATGTATAGAAATTATTATGTAATAAAGGCAAACCTTTATAATAACCTTTAGAACAAAATTTAGTTTGATAAACACTGTATTTAAAATCATCAGTGCCAATTAAAACAAAGTCTTAATGTAGATTGCATTTAGAAGTAAAAGACAAATTGATTTAAGGTTTAATAGTTTATTATGGCTTTTCTCAGCTTCTGCTGAAGAACAGAGATTGAGAAGATCTCGAAGACCTCCAAGAACAAGAATAAGTATTCGGACTAACAGAGGGGGGGACAGAGGAGATGGAACAAATGCTACGACTGCAGCAGCAATCGATGTGTAAGTTAGCTTGATTGTGAGTTTAATTTTTGAATGGTATGTTAGTAAAGCTGAACTCAAGATGCATTTATCTTGGCAGATAATAATTTTGTATGTTTTGTTGACTCAAGCAAGACACTTCTTTAGACGTTGTTGTTAATTTAACTTTTCAAATCTTGAAAAAAATCCTTGAAAAGTTCCCATCCCTCCATCCCAGCCAAGGGAGGCTATTCTTATGTGCAGTACTTGTAATATGATCAGCTAATGGCTGAAATATAATTGATACAAGTTTGTTTAGCTCAGATTCTTTTCTTCAGAAGGGAAGGGACTTAACAGGACGCATTTTGAACGGCCAGTTTTGGCTGGCCTGGTTCAGCAAAAGTGACAAATCAAAAGAGTAAACTAGAAGAATGTTGAAAAGTTGAAACAAACTAAGTTCAGGGAAGAAGGATGTGTAGGAGGGTTTCCCCATGTTCCATTTAGTAACTTATAATGCTACTGCTTCAGAATTAGTAAACTCAAAAAGACCTTTTAAACTGTAACAGGAAATTACAATACATAATATCATAGGTGATGAATTACTCCTTAATTTTGGCGCGACATTTCAGCGTTAATTTGTAATTTCACATGTGAAATTACAAAATTGCCATGGCAACCCTTCTGTACATCTCAGTGTCAAGATGGCGACGAAGTTTTAAAATGCCGTGAATGAAGATGTCAGAGCACAAAAAGACGCTTTAGAAAACCTGAACACACAAGAGAACATCAAGAAGGATTCTAACAGGTATTTTGCCAGAAAAGTCTGAAAAATTCTGAACTTTATAAGCCAAATTTAAGGTCAAATTTAAGAGAGTGGAGTTCTCGATCGATACGATCCATGATAAACATGTCAAAAAATCCAAGATTACTAACGTAATTCGTCACCCATGATATTAATAGGTAATCAAATGGTATACTCGTGAGGAATAATTTCACGCGCGTTTGGTCCAAATCCTAATAATTTCCCAAGCCTTTATCGTCACCATTTGATTACACATACTAACTTTGTGCTTAAATGTTTTTATCTGCATGTACCTTTGTACATTTTAAGTATTGCTGTATTGAGTGATGTTATGTTCTTCCTTTAGAATCCTACAAAATCTTTTTGGAAGTATAGGAACACAAGGTATTTTCATTGATAATATTCTAAGATGAATTTATTTTTAATATTAAGCTTTTATTTTTCCTTTTGGTTCAGAAATGATATTCTTCTTTTTATACAAAGTGAATCCAGGAGAGTGCTCATGATTAGTGGCTAACATTTGCCTTTGGGCAAGGTCTTGGGCTCCTCCTAAATTTTTCTTAGAGCTCAGCTCTGCTCTCCAGTTTCCACTGTATACAGTCATATTACTTTTCAGACGAACAATGAAATATATTAACTGTCTCCAATTTGCTGCAATTTTTGTTGGGTGGGGATTGTTTATCAAGAAGTTGACAATGAGTTTGGTCATCTATGAAAGTAGATTAGTTGTACAAAATAATATATTATGGGGGAACACAAATAACATTGCACAGAAACAACATATGCATTTTCGTACTCTCTAATCCATATATTTTATGCACTTTGTGCAGTGAAACCTCCATGTGCAACCATCTCTCATAAGCAACTACCTGTGCAAAACATTAAAATCCCTCCAATCAGATCAGAGTCCTATGGTTAGAAATCTCTCGTAATCCCATTCACCCCTGGGAATTTTGCCAAAGAACACGTTTTGAAGCTAGTCAAGCGGTTTCCTAGTCACCTCTTGTCTGGCTATAAAGAGCTTAAAATTGCCATAAAACAGTTTACAATAAATTTGTACACATTTTGGCCTTCTGATCCAGATGGAATTAGCTTGTGAAGTTCGGGCATGCACAGAAAGCAAAATTTCAAGATTTCTTTTAGCATCTTCTTCCCGTCTTCTTTTGCTTTTCTTACCTCAATTTTTTTTCCTTTTGCCAGGCATTTAGTAGGAGTTATTAGCGGTTCAGGGTCAAATGGGTTAAATGGCCACCTCCTATAAGTCACCGCAGCAACTTTCTGGGTTGACGGTTTTATAATTTGCCATTGTTTTTAACCTCTGTTAAGCAACCATGGTCTGCACTCTATGTTTTCTATATTATGCATTTAACTTCTGAAGATATACAAAGCACTCTTTGTGACCTGATGGAACTACACATATTGTAGGTTAGACATTGCATACATAAAATAAAGTTGCTTAGAAAAAGTACATGTGACCTGAGCTCTTCTCAGAAGAGCCCCTGTGGTTAGATTACTGTGAGCGATCACTAGATTATTGTAAAATTCTGGGTAGTCGCCTGTGGCCAGTTCAGCTGTACATAATTAATTTTTGTATGTCAGTTTTCTGCAAATCTGGATTTTATTTAGCTCAATATGTTTATAAAGTTTCTGTATGAGTGGAACTGATGATTTTCATCCTTTTTCAGTCTCTTTTTTTTTGGAAATTAGCTTGTGTTGTTCAGCTTTTAATGCTGGAATGATATAACATGGCAAATGTCAACATCAAAGGTGTTGAAAAGATGCCCCTGCTTAAAATAAGACTGAGTTTTAATATTATAAGAAGCTGCAGTATTTAATTGAGAAACTGTTGTATGATGAGGTAGTATTGCTGCTGACTGTGAATGACTCCACTGTTTGTTTCAGGACCTACAAGTGAGGATGGAGCAGGGCCCTCGGGTAATTTTGCATTTCCGTTGTAAGTATCTGAGGTCTATAATTTGTCTCACATCATAGACATTGAATCATTGTAAAAGTTATTAAAATTTTCTCTCTTGGTTTTCAAGGGCTTCAATTGCAATACCATTTTTGATGATAATCATAGGGATAGTGATGACAATGACACCGGCACATATGTATTCTACATGAAACTCTTCTATTAAAACTGGCCTGAGCAATCAGTGTATGAGAATACTGCTTCCTGATTCATCAATTCTTTACTCAAGGGTTAGGTGGAGAATTTTGCCCTGAAAGAAATAGCAACGTGTACCTACAGAATTTAAACAATACAGCATGTAGCACATATACTAAGCTCCCCACATATTGGTGACAGTATTGACCAGTGTTGGTTATTATTTAACACTAATGCGTGACTGTGCCTCCAGAAAATATCTGTGCTCTGCTCAGAAAAGAGAGTTTGTAAGGTGAAAAGTTGGTTGTGGTCTCTCCAGAACCAATGTTGTTAATATAAAGTGTAATGTGAATAAAACTGAGATTTCCATGGGATTAGTAGGTAGCGATGTTTTCTGGAACTGTTGCTTAAGATTGTGCTGTAATACAGGTACAAGCAACATCATTATTTTAATGTTGCAAAGACAATACTCGTGTTTTCATCCTTGCCACCTTAGTGACTTGCTGTCTCTTTTTTTTACCATTTAGTAACATCCTCCGTCTCCATGGCAACCCTGGTGATTATGCATGGGGTACAGAAGGATTGGATTCAATAATAACACAGGTCTGTGGCTGCATTGCTCTTGCAATTTTCTTGTCAAAGTACCAAGCTTTTAAGGGTATGCTAATAAGCAGTAATGAATTGCCAAGATTTTATGCTACTGGAAGTATTACACATGATATTTTAGCAATAGACCTTTTTACCGATACAGCGGCCATATTGAATTAATTTGATTTAAGGAGTATTATAGGATGCCCAGGGGGCATTAGCACATTTTGTTTGTATTTTCGGGCGCTTTTCAGCACATTTTTTATTAAAATTTTGTTAGAAAAAGATTGTAATGGGAAAAAAGATCCTTGTGCCGTGTTTAGATGAAGTAATGGTCGCCAATTTCTAGTTTTGTATTAGAAATATGGTCTTTCACTGTATATTTCTTGGGAAAAAGGCAATCATTATTACATCCAAACACGGCACAAGGATCTTTTTTCCCATTACAATCTTATTCTAAGAAAACTTTACGAAAAAATGCCCCGAAAAGCTCTCGAAAATACAAACGAAATGTGCTCATGCCCCCTGGGCATCCTATAATACTCCTTAAATCGAATTAATTCAATATGGCCGCCGTATCGGTAAAAAGGTCTATTATGTGTACATGTAAGGTTATTGTCTAAACTATACCAGAAAACACAAAATGCTATCCGGTAGAGTATTAACAGTAATGGCCTGAAGCTGGAACAAGTCATTCACACACATTGGACATCATAGCAGAGTGGTTGGCTAAAAGAGTTTGGTTCACTTCATCCCATGAAATCCTGAAAATTTACTTCTGTCTGAGTGGGTTCCAGTCCTTGCTCCTTCTTATTCAGTTCTGCTACAGTCTGAACACCTGTTTACACTGCACCAAAGTGTGGTACAGAGCCTATCCCATATATAGAACTCCATTTTCATGCCCTTAAATCAAATTCAAATCAAATCATGCCCAAATCACTCGTCTTATGTCTTATCAGAAGCCGTATTTGGTTAGGTTTTCGTGTTGGCAAAAGAGCCATCTGGTACAGCGTGATCGCCTAAGTAGGCCTGCGTGAGTTCTTATTCAAATACCTCATGCAAGTGTAAAGTTGCCTGTGTGTACCCTTATTTTCAATCTCAATGGTTAACCGTAAGTTTGCAACTCAGCTTAAAAAGGCTTCTCTGTGGCAGAGTTAAGGGGAAAATCAAGGTTCAAGGGAAAGAAATTCACTAGTTTCTTAAGAGAAAGCCATTAAGTGATTTGTAATAGACCCCACAAAGAAAAAATATTAATACATTTATGAATTTTTGAGACAACGCACTGATACCCTCGCCTAAGTGGCATCACAGATTTTTGCAATGTTGCCTGCTCAGCAACTTTTGGCAAGAAACACCCCATTTATTGTTTGATTTCATGTGGCATTTTTGTTACCAATGAGCAGGGTGTTCATTAGGCATCAGAGATCAGAGAAATCCCGGTTTACTACACAGAATTCTCTGGCTAAAGGCGATAGCATATGACTATCTTGTATTCAGACTTGGAGCCTCTTTCACAATATTCTCCTGTAAATTTTCACCTTTCTCTTGCTACCAGAATTCTTATTGAAAACCATGAATGAGTGACAGTGTGTGTGTGTGCGTGTGAGTGTTGGGAAATAAATACCATCTATAATCAGTGTTGACTATTTTGTATTCATTTATGTCCATTTTTCTGAATTATTATTAACAGCTTTTAAACCAAATGGAAGGAGCTGGACCACCTCCTGCAGACTCAGAGAGAATAGAAACACTTCCAAAAGTAATAATTACACAGGAATTAGTAGGTGAGTACAGACTGTCTTTGAATAAATTCTATTACAGACTCTCTCAATTTATTTCTTTATACAGTCAAACCTGTACATGTATATAATGGTCACTCCCCGGAGGGGGGGGGGGGGGTACTGTCATATATGGGCTATATAGGTATGTGCCGCTGTAAAGGGTATGGTTTTCAAGCAGTTTACTCAAGGATAGGGTATATAAATCAGAGCATTTGGGTCTAGAATAGTGTATCATTTTTCAGGAAACTGATCAGTTGGTTGAAGATTTTATCTAGACTAGGGATTGTGGTATATGGTTTTGTTTTGGCTAGACTACTGTGCTAGTGACCTCAGTAGTTTCTGGAAAACAGCTACTCTAGGATAGGGGGATTGGGGAGTTTACTATAGTATAGGATAGCAAAATTCAGCTCTAAACTAGCTCTGGTATAGGTTAAGGGTTCCAGGGTTCCAGCAGCACATCCCCACCAAGAAATTCCCAAAGTATCCCCCCAGGGGGTCACCCTCAGGAAATGGCCAGTTGACCGTTATAAACAGGGTGACTGCTACCCATAGGTTTCCTTTAAAGTCTACTGGAAGCTAATGAATAATTCTTTTATGTGAGAATAATCACTCTAGAGATTCAAAAACCAAATACAGTCCAGATGGTAGGATGCTAGAGGACAGATACTACAGTTGTTTGAAAGCAATAAGATCAACACTTTCATTTCTACTCTGTCGGGGTGTGTCGCAAACATGTCGGATGCGGAGAATGACGTGTATTTGGAGATGTGTTAAGTAGGCTGTATTGGAGTGTTACTCCTGCCCTGGTAGTCACAAGTTAATGAACTTTTCAATAATGTCTTTTATGATTTGCTAGTCATTTGATTGTAATCCATTTTGGTGAGCCTTATATACGGATAGAAAAATAATGAAATTGTGAATGCAGAAAGTCTAAAGGGTGACCGCATCTGTTACAGCTGACGGCTATACACAGGTCAACTTTACTGAAAATAAAAAAGGCAAAAATATTTTTGGGAAATTGTCTTGTGACCATACTATGCAGGGCCATCATAAACAGGTTTGACTGTAACTGTTTTTCCAGCGAAATGAAGCCTAGTAAATGACCAAGAAAAGAAAAGAAAAATGGGGCAAAACAGTGGTGCATCCAGGGGGTCTGCACTCCCCCTGCCCTACCTGGTGCTTGTTTGAGACTGAAATTTTTACATCGATAGGATTGTATGTCACTTTCTAACCCTAACCCTAACCCTGCTGATTTTTTTAATGAAGCACTCGTTGCATTTTGCCACTAATAGTCAGGTCTCTTAGTGCAAAATATAGGCCGGATCGTTACAGACGTGACAAAAGTGTCAAATTTGGCACAGAGCTTCCTTAGCACCTACTGATTAATACTGGAGGGGGTGCCCGTTACAAATGGTCCAAATTACAGATAAAAGGGGGGGTTAACTTTCACCTATAATAGCAGATTGGGTTCCCTGTGGTGAGTACTCTTCTTGTTTGATTTGGCTAAAAAACATTTGTTGCAAATTTTTAAGATTTTAATTTGGTAATGTTTAGTTGTTGTTACACTATTCAAAATAGTTTTACATGTACATAATACTGACTAGTGCCCAGTCTCTACACGGTAAGTGTGGCCATGTTCATTGTGCGGACTGTGCGGCTATCAGTGTCACTGCTAAGACTTGCCAGTGATAATATCATTACATATCAATTTAAACAGATCACAAAGCCAGCTTTCAAAGATGTCATACAATAACATAAAACGCAAATGTATCACATCCTAAACGACAGAATCGTTAAAGTTTGACATGCCACATGAACGACCTCATGAACCGTAACTGACAACGCGCCCACTTTGTAATTGTGCAGCTAAGATTAGATTATAATTTGCTTCGTTGGTAACCCTGTCCTTGAGATAATGATTAAAACATTATCATTATCCATCATATCTGAAAGTTTCAAAGCTATAGCTTAAAACCTGTCCCGACTGGAGGTCGGAGAATTTGGTTTTTGCGTCTAAAATAGAGTGAGAGAAAATCAGCTCTAAAGATTTAGCGCAAGGTCCACGCTTGGCTGGTTAGCTCAGAAAAGGCTCATTTTAGAAGGTTAAAAAGCACTTTCTGATTTTCTTTTTCTGCCAAAATAAAATTTAGGACTCCCTCATGCCAAAAATCCAAAAAAACCAAAATCGAGCAATGCACTAAAATTTTAATTTACCGAGACCTTAAAAAGAAGTGTATGAGGTCCCTGCATGCCTAGACACCTGTAAGCGGCTCATTCACTTCAGAGCTCTTGGAACAGAGTGTTAATGGTAGGTCTATAGGGTCTTTCAAAAAAAAGGAAGGTTGTCGCGTGCGTTACAATTTACAAACAATCTAACTTCAGAAGAGCTGAAATTTACAGGAACAAGGCCTCTTTTAGCGAACCAATGATGCATCATTTATGAAAATGAATGTAATTTGTTTGATGCAATTAGGCGAATACCCCGTGGCTACGAAATCTTACGATCATGAATTCCTCAAGAGCAATTCAGTTACCAACTTTTCACAAAATAATGCTGTGGAAAATTACAGAAAATACCAAAAAAGCAAGGGTCAACAATAATTGTGCCCTGGTCCCTTATAATAATGGAGTGATCGTGATAAAGAAGTCCATGAGCCCCAACTTTGACCACTCAAACAGATTTTTGACAGATTACATACTGCAAAACTTTGCATTCACTCATGCCTATGTTGCCACACCAGGAGCCTAGAAATCGGCTCCTGGTCACACCTTGTTTTTATTGCTGAATATCATTCTAAAGAGCTTTACGAAATATTTTGTTAGTAGGGGTGTTTTGAACATGATTGATATTTAGAGATGGTGACAAAAACGAACACAGAAAAAGTCACAAAACGAGACGCATGAAACAACCGCAATCTAATATTCGTTTTACACCGATATAATGGCTTCTTTGGCTGCTATGCTGACATTCTTGAAGATGGCCGGTAGTATCACAGCTCGTCCCGGGCTAGGTATACCATTTATTACCAGTTTCACGGTTCCTGAGACTTAGGGTCTGTTAACATAAAGGTGGGGGACCCCAGGTAGGTGAGGTAACCTGCTTAGGTGGGGTAAAAAAATAACCCTTCTTTACATGCAGTCTTACAACCCCGCCATCCTGGGGTGCAGTTTCTCAAGATTATTGAATGGTCGCTAAGCATGTAAACAAGAAAAATGCTGGCAAACCACGTCTACGCTCAATTGCTGCTCTTGCTGCAACCTTCAGTGTTGTGGCTTTCTATTGTTACCTTTAATAATTATGTGAAGCCACCCAGCGCCAAAGTGAATTTTGCGCGAATTTGATGTATCACGAATCCGACCCCGACTAGCCTGGGTTTCCTCACCTTGAAACGTTGACATGGCAAAATTTGACCTCAGCTGAGAGGGTTACCTGGTGTGGCAGACCGGGCTACCCACCTTGAAGGGTGACCCCACCTATCATGTAAACGTGATCAAATTAAAATGAGAGATTATATGGACAAGTGGGTTACCCCACCTAAGTGGGTTACCATTCCTACCTGGGGTCCCCCTCCTCCATGTAAACAGGCCCTAAAAGTTAGCCCGGCCCCCTTTCTACAGTTTCAGAAGTTAAACCATTCACCATTTATCATTTGAGTCAATCTTGTACCACTTGAGTCTCACTTTTACGACTTGATAAGCTGTTATTATTTTTGGACATGAGTGCTTCAGTGCCAAGTGTAGAGGCTTCATGATAAACTGTGCTGTTTTTTGAAGCTTGGGCTAACTTGTTTCTTTTTTTTGTTTATGAGACCAGATTCTTTTTTGTTTGTTTTTGCTTTGTAAAGCTTAGACAAACTGCGGAAATTGTAACTGATATGACTTGTGCCACGGTGCTTGCTTCTCTGTCAAAACATGCACTTGCGTCCAGCAGATAACTGGATAAAGAGAGACTGAAAGGCATCCAGGCCTATGTTAAGCTGAAAAATAAATTACCTCCCTAGGAAAGAACTATTTTGGGTTCTGTCATTTCGTTATTTGCTCTTCATGAATAGCTGTCATAAATCCCTGATAATATGTGATACAACAGACTCTTTGACAATTTCTTTTTTCTGAAATTTTGTGTGTGAATCGCTATGCCATACGCTTTCTTCAGTTTAAAGTGACATGTAATGACAAGTAATACTTGATAAATAAGGCTTAAGCCACACAATAAGGCTTCTCTAATTGAAATACATTAGAAAAGGAGAAGAGACCCCAGAAGCTGAGTACTTGCAAGTTATGAAGCAAAGACGAGGCCATCTTAGAAATGACTTATGAAAATGTGGGCGGACTGTGGACTTGCTTTAAGGGCACAGTAATAATCAACTTAATTATACAATCGATAAGCAAAAATGGATGGGAATGCCAGATGTTTGAGTGAAATTGTTGTTTACCACCTGAGAATAGAATTCAGAGTGATTTAAGGTATTAAATAACAATTTTCAATCAAAACACCACAGGGACCCCAGCAGGTGAAATTTGCAATAATTAAATCCTGTTTAGCCGCTTCAGTGGCATATTTGCATTGGGCACCCCCTCTAATATTCATGGTACTGCAATAAGCTATCGCTGTGCAAAGTTTGGTGCTTTTGTCAACTCTGTAACGATCCTGACCCTAAGAGACCTGACTATAAACTAAATTCGAGGGATATTGATGAAAAATGTAATAATTATTGTTTTGGGTACCCTTCTATGATCTGAGGACAAGGTTGGTGGGGGGTGTGGGCGAGAAGTAATTTGCCACAAAAAAAGTTCAGCAGTCCTTTCTGAATCAAAGTGTGTACCTCCCGGATAAAAAATTCCTGGATCCGCCCCTGCAAAAAAAGTGAAGACAAGAGGAGACAAAGCAAAAAGTCGAGACTGCTGTGTCACTTTTAAACAAAAACTATCTTGAAATATTTTGCTTTCTGCACGTGCTTGAACTTTGGAAGCTGATATTTTGCATTTGAAACAGAAGGCTGCAAAGGGCTTGACTTATAAACAACATTTTTACTTTTATGACTTTAAAATAAAGGTATGCTGTATTTTTTTCATCTAGATGCCTGTGTGGACTGTGCTGTTTGCCAAGAAAAGTTTTCATTAGATGAAGAAGTTAGGCAATTACCATGTAAACATTATTATCATTTTGACTGCATAGAACCTTGGCTAAAAATGGTGAGTATTATGTCAACCTATATGAATAACATTGAAGGTTACTTTACTGACTCTAAAGGAAAAAATCATGCTGTACCCCGATGCATTGTTTATACAGAACCATTGCTAGAAGAAAGGTGAATAGCATTTCTGAGATAGCCAGAGGGTGTATAAAACTGCACTATTCATTTTTGTAGTCTAGCACATTTCCTCTGGACAATAACTCAAGTTGTGCTTTGTTTTTGAAGAAGGGCACTTAGTCAAGGGGCAGCAGGTATTCATTCCGTGCCAGAGGATTTTTCAGGTCAACGTGACAACCTCTTCTGTATAGTGTAGAGTTTAGTTTTTCCCTTCATGAAACTAAACATTAGGTTCAATTCAAAAGAACAGGTAATGTTCACCTGATAACTCTGGAGGTGAACTTAAAGTGAGTTAACAGAAACTGTTCACCCATGTTGATGCTAGTACAGTATAGTAAGTCAATGATAAAAGTCTGTGAAAGTCTGCTTGTGATATCAAAACTGCCTAAGAAACTGGGTAGCACATAATTTACTATTTCGTTCAAGAGGTGGGTACTTATTTTTCGAGGTTGCTTATAATAATTATTATGGTATTGAGGTGTCTCACAGAAGACAGTATTTGATTAGGTGAAAACGTTTTCTGAAAACAAAACTCATCACACTCTGTTTTCTTGCAGCATGACTCTTGTCCAGTTTGCCGTTTAAGTCTCAGTAGCACACAGACAAGAGGATCATGAAGCTGACGAGCAGTTTTATTATGACTTTTTGATTTCCTAATATTATTATAATGAGCACACTTTTGATTAGCGCTGCCCTACAAGTAATGAAAATTGGGTTAAAGTTGAAGTTTTAAGTTATTAGTATACAAGATCTACCATGTCACTTCTGAGAGTTGGTCGGTGTGAAATATTTACAGCCTTTGTACTTCATGGTACAAGGCTAGACCAATCATTGTAAATCTTCAGTAGAGTATTAACTGGTTTACACCTTTGTAACAAGTGTAAATAAAAAATGTTCAATGATTAGAGTCATTATCTATTATCATTAAGATAGGACTGTGTAAAGACTTTTTAAATTTATCTTCCTTTTTTTTTATTCAACCAAATGTGCTTAAAAGGATAAACATAAGTCTTTGTCTTTTCAACTGTTAATTAACTACAGCTTGCAGGTATGTCATTGTAAAAGGAGGCAATAATTATGTTTTAATAGGAAGCCCATTTCCCTCAACATACAGCCTGTTTTTTTTTTTTGCTGTTACTTTCCACTTTCAGTCAGTAATTAAAAAAGGCAATTTACTAATTTACTTTATAATCAATTTTACAGCACAGTTCACTTTGAAATTCTTGTTGTATGTCTTAAACCTAGGTGATTCAGGGAGTTTCTTTTCAAACAACCAGCTGCAAACTTCAAATCTTACTGGAACCAAAGCCTTGCATTTACAAGGACATGTCCCTTAGACATAACAATTCACACAAAAACTAATGCAGCCACTACTTGTGATATAACAAAAGTAGGATTCTTATGCTGAGGCTTTGGTGGTTCCTGTATCAGTACAGGATGGGGGTTTGATTAACAGTCAATTCACATCTTTCCTACAAGAGAAATTTTCTCTAAAAAAATCAGTCTGCATATGTCTCACTTCAGCAAACTGTTGCATGTACATGATGACCTTGTAACAAATGTGTGGAACACTGGAGAAGCATTTTTGCAACCTCAGCATAATTTTGTGATTTTAACAGTTTGTGAACCTTTGGGAAAACGTTGTATCCCTAAACGGAAGCTACTTGTTATTAACTTGTTATTAGTATTATGTCTTGAATAGGTTTAAGGTGATTATACTTTCAGCTAGTAATCAAAGTCAGCCTGTGTAATACAGGACCCCTAGGTTCAAACCATTGAAACTAAATAAAATACCACAGTCAAGAGTTGCAAAAATGTAGTTTACTGGTTAACAATATTATTTAACAATACTGCAGACTTATGTAGCTGTATGGTAATTTTATTGGCATAAGACAGTAATTCTTGGGAAGAAAAAAAAGAATTTACAGTTATAGGACAGAATGATTTCCAATTTTGTTTTATTAATATTATTTGTAATTTTCTCAGATCAACTCTTTGTGGTCCAGTGGTCACGTTTATGCCATTGATCTACTTCATGATCTTTATGATGATCTACTTCATGATCTTTAAAACTCTTTACTTTAAATTCTCAATTAAAGCTCTTACTGATTACCAGTTTGTAAAACTATAATATCACCCAAGAAGACTAAACTTCAAATTTATTCAAAATAAAACAGGAAAATGCTTGCCATCTGTTTTCTTGTAGTTCAATCTTCGTTTCAGGATGTAGGAGTTGTCTTTGTCCCATTCTCGTAATAAGCTATTGTAAATAATATTTCCTATATTTGTTCATCCTTAAGTTATGAAGATGTATCTGTAGGGTGTTTTTGCAGGGTATTTGTGGGACTTTCCTCCAAAGCTTTTTTAATGGATCTTGTCTCCTTAAATATACTGTGCTGTTTCAATGTCATAGTTTAAACTCAAATCCAAATTCTCAAGCAGCATGAAAGTTTGGCCCAAAATATACAAGTAAAACAAAAAAAAATTAATAGGAACTAGAGATAAAGAGGATTGATTTCAAAGATCCAGCATCAAAATTTCATTATTTTACAAGACGTATTTATATTTTCTTTTTATACCAGTGCAAAATTACACATCAGTCAATGCACACAGTTTCAATACGTTTCCCAGTTATTTCTTCACTTGTTACTGACTGTGTATTTGTCGGTGGTTTTAGGAAAGTGGGTAAGCTTGATGCACCAATTTGTGAGTTGTTCTTCATACCCTGTGTACTTTCTCCATTATGACGGGCTGAACCTTGACCTGCCTGAAAGTGACTGGTAGTAAGTAATGGGTTTGTGTTATTAATCTCCATTGGTGATGATGTATTATTTAGAGCATCCACTGGTTTAATGTTTGGGCTTTGGTTATTTGTCTCAGGGCTGGTACTCCTGTGTACTGCAGAGGACACAGGTCTGGTAAACTGCATAATACTTGGAGTAGTTGTTGTGTTGTAATGAGAAACAGGTGTCTTGACCGAATCTGCAGATACATCGGAGCTGTTCAAGCCATCAGCTTCCTGTAGATTCTCAAGACCAAATGATCTTAGGATGTGATTATGAACATACCAACGAAGCCTGTCAAATCTTCTTTCTTTTGTGGCAATGTTCTGTATCTTTTTTTCAAGTTGTCGTTTAGAAATTGGGCTTTTTTCATCTACTTCCTCGTCAGTGATAGCTCTACCCAAACATTTTGATGTCCATTGTTTTCTGAATTGGCTGATTAACTTGTTAAGGCCTGCTGTGTTTCCATGAATCAGCTTAATTAATTCTGGCATGGCTGTAAAGCATAAATAAAAACTAAGTTAGTTCCTTATCCTATAACTGGATGTTCCATATTGAGGAACGAACTGTGTTACTAGAGATCTTAAAATTTTTTTTCCACCAGTGGAAGATGTTACTATCAACATAACTTAGTTCCAAGTCTAACACTTTTTTTGTGTTTTTTTCTTCTTGAAACAATAATTGTTTATTGTGCCTAAGTAACCTTAGACTTCTCCATTTATATACAACAGTGGTATTTACCACTGATGCCTGATCACAGGTCGGCAGATTCTTTCTGTTGTTTTCAACTGTTTCATCTGTCCTGAAACAAGGCATATTCAATGTCCTAGACAGCACAATGCAGTCTTCCAATATTTGTAGCATTTGTTCTTGGATCATTGTCTTTACTAATGCTATCCAACTCAACTGAAATATTTAGTTTAGACGTGCACCTTGACCACATCTCACTCCCAGGAGGCAGTTAAGTGATCATTTCTTTCTAAACTGTATGACAGTGTATGTATGGAGAAAATTTATTGGAGATATAAGATATGATTCAGAAAATTAAAGACGCGTTACCTTCATCAGGTACATAAAGACCTCCATTGTTCGCAGTGCTTGGTGAATCAACAGGGACCTCAATATTTTTTAGGTGAGATGATGGATTCTCACAATCTACTGGTGCATCAACAAGTAAACATGCAGCAAACTGCTTAAGTGTAAGGTTCAGAGAAGCCTCATCAAGCCACAGGCACCCCACTGTAACTGGCTTCATTGGTTTGCATTTCCTTTTCATTTCTGCTTCCCAAGCCTTAGCTTTTGCCAACTGCTGATCCTCTTTATTTCCGGAATTCTTATCCTGCAATTGGAAAAATAAAATAATAAGTAATAGAAACCAGTCCGTTACATATATGACAAGTGAAAAGCAAGGTCATTTTGACATTATATTCGTCTATGAAACAGTATAATTATGTAACCATGCACTCACTTAATTCAACTGATGATTAAGCTAAGCGATTTAGCCGGAATATCTCAAAGAAAATATTTTATAAGTATCGGATTTGGTAAGTGTCAATTTTCTTCGTTTCCTAGTTCCTATTATTTACCAGTAATTTGGGTTAAGAGAGAAAGGAAATTGAGACCCAACAGATGTACTGTTATTTTAGAGACACAGTCAGTGCCATCTGGGCAAAACATTTTTTGTTATTTAAGGAAGCATGCATTGCCAAAACATTAGTCTTTTTTTTTTCGACAAAGATTTAAAACTGTCTTACTGGACAATGTTGAACAAAAAAATCAATGTTATCAAATATTCATTAAATCTGTCATATCTCACCTTTTTGTCAGATTCACCATCATCTTCCATCTCTTCATCCAGCACCCCTTCATCATCTGACAAGTAACCATGAGGAACAAAGAACCCATCATCATCTTCATTATCTTCTTCACCATCAGCTTCTTCTTCACCCTAGAAAAAAAACCTTTCCCAATGAACACAACTACACTTGCACCCTACTGCACTGTATACCCGTCTGGTAATCCTTTGTTTTCTTAGAGCGGAATATTTCCTTAAAACTAGCTGTTAGTATAACATACAAAGAAACTCATGTCTGATAGCTACCTGTTGGCAGATTTTGTGGTTAGGCTGGTGGATACAATCCCTTGCTTATGACCAAGGGAATATTCATTGCTGTTTTATTGTACAGTTTAACCAGGCGGGGGGGAATTCCCTTATTTGACCTAAAGGGGTATGTGCTGCTGAACAGGGTACAAGTTTCATTGTTTCGGGTGCCAAACAGGGTATACAAATTATTTTCACTTAACAAATTGAACAGGATGTCTTTTTAGGATCAGAAGCCTTGATCATAGTTATTAGAGGAGACTGGTTATGAAAAGCGGCAAACATCAATGATAAAAACAACAGTGCTGCAGTTTATGTTCAAAGCACCGTGAAAGTGCACAATCCTTTGTTTTCTGTTGGCAAATTCTTACGGAATAAATTAATGCAACGTTTTTATTGGTCAATACAATCAAAATGATAGGAATTCTTTTGAACGTTGTGCACTTTCAGGTCCACAAAAACATATAACAAAGGAGTCTGACGGGTTTCATAACCATTCCACTCAATTAACTATGCCTTGATAAAAGAGCGTAAAATATCAAATTCCATGATGTTAGTTTGAAATGATTATTCTTACTTCATTCTGTTTTCTAAACGAAACAAATCGGGGTCATAAAATAAGGTCTCAAACAGGGTAGTGGAATTAACAATTTTTGTCCGGAGTCAGGATCTTATAAGGCACACCTCTCCCTAGACTTTCCTGGAGTGGCTCCATAACGCCCCCCCCCCCCACCAAGGTTTAACTCCGCTATATGGACACCCATGCCAATTTCTTACTATTTTGGCAACAAGTGCTGTATTTAGCACTTGAGTAGTCCTTGTATTTAGCATGACGATGAGCAATAAATATTTCTCATGCCTTTATAACAAAATTTTTTCACACAATAATTGGTATATCATTTGTTTATATTACCTCACTGTCGGACAAACTTTCTCCAGGTTCCTCTTCTTCCCACTCTTCATCACTGTCCACCTCATAGTCAAACAGTTCCTAAAGAATACAACAGACTTCTTAGAAACCAAGTCCAGTTCAGTCCAGTATATTCCTTCAATTAAAGCAATCCTGTAGCCGTGGAGTTGCATTGAGTGATTAAACTTATTCCCACGTTCCTCTCCCTTTAAATCCACAGGGATGAGAAGGAGAGGAACTTGGAAATGAGACTGCCAACGAACCATTAAGACAAGTTATGAAGACTGTGTTACTGTACGTCTCTTCAGTTATGACTTAGGGACTGGTCAAAAAGTATAGGGGGGGTGGGCCGGAGAAGAGAGGGGTGGGTCATGAGGTTTTGAGCCTTGTGCAAGGGGTGGGTCGTGCAATTTTCAGCTACTTAGGGGTGGGTCACTCTATTTTATTACATAGATAGGCACTAACTACTAACGAGACAGTTGACTACACTTGTTATATAAAACACAGCCAGCTGGAATTATTGCTGAAATACTACAAAACCTCTTGTGCGAGAAAGTAAAAAAGGGTGACAGGCCGCACATCTATAATGGGAGTGGAACCCTTAACCTTTTTTTTTTTTTTGGCTCTTCGAGAGCATGTCCTTTAATGATTTTCCTTTTTTTGTAAGGAAATGATTGGTGGCTCTTTAAAAATTTATTGAGGTTACAGTTGGTTTTGTATAAGATTCCATTTTTTCATTCAAGCTTCCTTTGTAGTAGACACTGAGGGCTGGTATTGTGTCACGAATGGCAATATTTCTTTTTCCTCCTTGTTGTTTTGTTTTAGGAGTTTGGACTCCCTTTCGTGAATTTTATTTCTGATAGTATGTTTTCTATCAAAGATTGTGGGTAGCCTCCGTCCATCAAGCGTTGTTTTTTAAATTTGAATTATTTTCCTCAAAAGTTATTTCTGAGAAGTTTTTTCGTAGGATTCTCAAGGCTCCTTCTTTGACAAATCCTTTTTTAACATTTGGAGGGTGACACGAGGTGAAATGTGTGTGCAAGAAGGTTTGCTTTTGTTAAAAATGTGTCTTTGCATCAAGGATAGATTTTTCCTTGAATCTTGTGCCTTTGTCTACAACCGTGTCTAAAAACGCAGTCTCAGTGTCAAATGTTTCGGCCTTGAATTTAATAGTTGGGTGATGTAAGACTTACATCACCCAACTATTGTTCAATGAAGGCTTCGATGTCTGGTTTACTCATGTACCATAGGGCAAAGATATCGTGCATGTAGCATTTCCAAACTGTTGTTCTAAAGACAGTTTTGCTTAGAGTTGTTGTTTCAATATATGTCATGAAAATATTGGCAAAGGAATCAAATCTGCTTTCTTTGTGCCCATTGCAGTTCCATGGTTTTGTAGGTAGTGCTTTCCATTGAAGTGGAAGAAATTTTCTTTGAGGGTCGATTGATCTAAGCATTTCCGGCAAGTAATGTGTAGGAATGGGTTGTCTTTGTAGAAATTTTCATATGCTTTGTGACAGACAATTTCAATATACCCTCGTTTTGCTGTATATTCGTGTCAAGACTCATAACGTCCATCGAAACAAGGAATGTTGGGTTTTTCACATTTGTCTTTCCAGTGAAAGGTATGATTTCTGTGATTTTGATATTGGTTGTAGCAGTGTATCAACAAATTTTGTCAAGCACAGAACAAGGTTTTATGGGATTATTAAGAGGAAACCAAACATCCATGTTTTAACTAGGGGGTGGGTCATGTAATTTCCAACCTTGCTTTAGGGGTGGGTCATGTGTGTTTTATCAACCACATTTCCAAATGCTCCGGCCCACCCCCCCCCTATACTTTTTGACCGGTCCCTTATGTACTAGTACAGGAATGTGGCAAAAAAAAAAAAATGATTAATGAGAAGAAACAGCCCAACTCAGATGAGCAAATTTCACCACTCAAATTTCTAATTTGTTCAGTTTTACATAAATGAATTCCTACGCTAGTTTACTTTCTGGAAACAACACTCATCATGCACAAAGAGTGCAATTGCAAAGAATTTTGTTCACAAACGTGGCCTGCTGGTGAAATTCGCTCGTCTGACATAACAACACATAATAATTATTATAAGGGCCATTATGAGTACAAATTTGTGATGGGTAAATCACTTGAACCTCTCCACTAGCTGCCTTAGGGACAGAGTTAAGTGGCCATTATGAAGAGGCAGCTTTTAGTTTAGAGTTACAACTGTACTTCATGAATGTGAATTGGAATTGGTGAGTGTACAAGTAATAATATTAAAAACAACAGAGACCTTAAGATACACTGTTTCTGTACTATTTACTCTGGGTAGATGACCTCTTAGCCCCGGAGAAAGTCAGTCGGGCTACCGGGTATAACAGTGTTGCCATTATCACATCTGGGAAATCATGGTCGCCTTTTGTATAACTATATGTGGCAAACATATTCACCTACATGTACCCATACCTGTAGGCAGAAATGATGTATCTTAAAGTCCCTAATGAGAAAAGAACAATTAAAGGAAAGAATAAATGTTCACTGTTTTACTGTACCGGGTCCTTCTTAAATGGGTTTTTCGGTGAAATCTTTTTGCTTTTTTTCCTCCATGTCCCAAAATATGCTGGCCTGTAATTAGTGTGAAACTGAAGAAGCTTGCATCTCAGACCACTTGTGGATGACTCCACTGTCTTTGGTTCAAGGATTTCAATGCTTGAATTGCTGTTTTCATCAATGTCAATGGGCACTTCATTTTCTCCGTTGCTTTCTATCTTTTCAGTAATGGTGGACAGCTTTCTTTTTGTGCACGTTATTATTGGCTTCCTTTTATCTAACTCTTTTAAATACAACACAGATGCTTTCTGCAATAAAATTATTCAAGCAGTCATTCAAACTTAGCCTAAATAGTACAGCTCCAGTACCAAGATGCATTCTTTTTAGACTATGCAAGCTCTCACAGGGACAGATGTAGATAAAACCTAGCTGACAACTAATTTTACCAGCTGAAAGAGAACTTACCATTAGCTGAAATAATTACTCTAGAAAACAAAGACGTGGAGTAATTTTGAAGGAGAAGTTGAGTAAAAAAGCTAGCTTAACTAATCAAAAACCTGCATAACTTTTCCTTAGCTACATCCCTGTTCATATTAAAAACACTTTTTGATTCACTCAACAGCAGCATATACAAAGCAAATTGAAAGGAGAAACTGGCAGTTTATCAGAAATCACTTGGGTCTTCATTTCAAATAAATAACGTGCCCTTGCACAATGTATGCCGATCATCAATGTACCGTAGTTTTTGTGATAAATACAGACTGCATGCATACTTCTGTCACAAAAGCTTCTTTAAAAGACAAACCTGGCTTCTAAGTCCTTCATCTAAACAATTCTTTAAGTCAAGTGACAGCTCTCTGCGCCTTTGAGGAGCAACAGTCATTCCTGGTTTGACCTCAAAGGGCTTGAATCGGATGTTGTTCTCTGGCAGCACAACCTTAATGTAAAATCACTTCATGTTTTTAAAATCTATACACTAGCACTGTATAATTTAGTTATCAACTTTTTTCTCAAGGTTACCCCAAAAGCAATTGCTGAGATGTTTTTCATCATCTTTAGCAGCCGCTTTATATGCTATGATTTGTCAGGGCTTTTGAGGAAAGCTGGACCAACCAGATTACATGTAGATCCACCCATGTAAACCCATGACCCTGACCTATAGTTAGGAATTACATTCCGCTTAAGACTTTATAATCAGTCATCAGAAATCAACCAACTGACTCAAACAACGGTTCATCGATGTTATCAAAATCTCTTTAAAGCAAATTATTCCATTTATTTTTAAGCTGAGAGTGCAAGCTAAAATAATGTAAACTTTTGAGGACCACTTTAACAAAACCCTTTAAAACCAATAGAGAGAATTAAGCTTGGCTAATGTACCAAGTTTTAGAACAGAACAGTACAAACATGACTTGTATCAGAAAAGGGTCAAAACTGTATATAACGGTCCTGTATATAGCAGTCACCCAGTAACTTACGGTCACCAGACACCTTCCCAAAATCTTCAGTTGTCTTACATTTTCTGCAAAGTTGGCCTGTACATAGCAGTCACCCTGTATATAACGGTCACCTTGCCATTCCCCAAGGGTGACTGTTGTGCACAGGTTTGCATTGTTAGCCCCATTACACAGTGCTTCCCACCTCTCTGTTATGGTGAAAGTAAATATTGTACCTTTGGTGTTGGAGTAGGAGGCCTGTTGAAAAATTTTGCAAAACTTTCTTGGACCTTCTGTCGCTTTCGTTCCTAACAAGAAGATCATAAAGGAACAGGAGTCATAAGACATATTTTTAGCACAGTACGGCGGATGTAAAACATTGCTGGGTACTGGTTAGAAAAACAGGAATATATTTTATGTTCAACACTTTTTGGCACAGTAATAAGCCTACAAATTGTTTGGTGCTGTGTGCTACACTAAAAGTGTAAGAGGAGTAATGTCATTCAAATGAACTTTTTTTCTATAAAACCGGCAAGTACATAACTCAGACTGGATCAGCTCATTTAATTATGAGGGAATACAGAGACTTTTATCTAAATGAGTTGATGCAGTCCGAGTTTTGTACCTGCCATATAAAAAATATAATATTTTCACACACTTGTAAGGAAACTTGTCATATTAGATCACCTGTTCTTCCTCTATGCTCCTTTTATCTGCTTCTCTCTTTCTTTTTTCTTCTAACTTGGCACTAATAACATGGAGACAGATCATAGTTATACCCATAACTGTGATTGTGGAAATTTCACAACCCATGATTTTATATTAAAGTCAGTTATACTAACTAATGTCTGACATTTAGCTCAGTCAAACTCTTTATTTTTATGGCAGAAGACAGCAGTTTATGTCTGGCTTTATTATATCCACTGCCCGCTGTAAATAAAAGTAATATTGACCAGTACTTACTTTTTCTCTTCATCCCTTTTTCGCTTTTCCTCATCTCTTTTTTCTTTTTTTTCTAACCGTTCTTTTTCTTCTTTTTCTTTCTTTTCCAATCTTTCTTTATCCTTTCTTTCTTTTTCCGCTTGCTTTTCTTGTCGTTCTTGATCACGTTTCCTTTTAGCCTCCAGTCTTTCCTTTTCCTTCACGGCCTTTGCATCCTGTTTTTCCTTTAATTTCTCTTCCCTCAGTCTTTGCTTCTCCTGTCTTTCCTTTTCCTAAAACAAAAATTTTTTTTTTATGAGTCTGTAAAAAGGACACTATTAGAATAAACTGAATAGGATACCCCAATAACCCTGGTCAATGCACATTTCTGAGAGTTTATTACCAGTTTGCACAAGTTGAAGTACCTTACCCTTTCTTCTTTTCTCTTTTGTTTTTCAGCACTTTTTTGAAGTGGTGTTCCACCATTTACCTGAAAAACATAGATTTCAAGTTGATTAATTTTAGGCAGAGCTAAAATCAGAACCTTTGTTCATCAGAAAACAACTACTGGTAGCAAATGAGGTATCACATCCAGTGACTGTAAACAAACAAGCAAGACATGACTTGTGCAAGAAATCGGAAAATTATCTACTTTGGGTTTCTTTGCATAACAACTTCGCACATTTTGTGAAATTTGGAAGTGTCATTTATTCACACCACAGATTTTAAGATCAAAGAATAAGATATATCAGTTGTGCTTGTGTATATGAATGGGACTTTGCTTGCTCATTTCAAAGCACATGGGGAAATTTACTCTATTAAAATCAATTGTACTGGATATTGGAAAACAATGACTCATTATGGCATGTTTGACATTCTTACTAGACTTAACTACGTCGGTAATATTAAAGATTTTATTTTCGTCACATTAATTTTTTAATTTAATTTAATTTATTCCATTTTCACCTCAAAAAAAGAAAACTTAGCTAAATTACATGAGAGAACAATATTAACTACATACTAGAAAAAAAATTATTGCAGTGGGGAAGGACTAGAAGGGAACATTTGAACCATTCGAGCTAGCCCACCCAAAAACTACAACAGACACTTAAATAAAGAAAAAGAAAAAAGAAAACGTTAAAATTATATTTAAAAACTATAATTGATAATATGTCATATCCTAGATTAATCTAATCGGAAAATAATTGTTACATCGATCACTACATCCAAGTGGCATGCGGTTGGTCAGGGTCGAAGCTCTTCTTTTTGTAGAACTCATTACATTGTTTTTTAATAATGATGGGCTTAAATTAGAGGTCCTGAGTTTATCAGGCAGGTTGTTCCATAAATACGGTAATCTATCGAAAAAAGTACCTTTGAATAATTCGGTTCTGACTTTGTTAATCTTTAACTTATTACTAGAATATGACCTTAATCTTTTGTCTGAGCAAAATTCAAAATATCTTCCAACTGAATAGTTATAGTAACCACACTTCATTATTATTCATCAACTCATTAGGATCAAAGATCTTTTATACAGCTTTACAAATGACTATCAACAACCAATCATTACCAGCCCAAGGTCTTTATGAGGGTTGAGGTCTTTACCAACTTTGTCGAAGAGAGATAACACATGCAGGGCTACTATTAAGAGGCAGGGGCTGGGGATTCCCCCCAGCCACTATGGAAGTGGCCCCCGGCTACTTTCAATAGAAAATAGAAGAAAAATAGAACCAAAAGAAACCCCCAGATGTTTAATCCTCATCTACTTGTTGTATTTACCTGGCAACTTGAAATCTTAATGACAACTCCACACATGTATAAAACATAATATATAAAAGGCATGGTAAATTCTCTTACAGTGTATCCCCACTTAACATGCCTATATTAAACTGCAAAGAAAAATTTGAGTTTACTGAAGTTGTCAACCTTACAGACCTTGGAAAATGCAATAATTTAATGCTACATGATGACACTGTGTGGTGATGTATTTATAGTAACAAAACCTTATTAGACTCCTTACCTTACTTTTACGGTTCACTTTAGTGGGAGGAGACTGATCTATGATCATCAATTCATTTTCCCCACAAGAAGAAATAGCCTCTGGAGAAGAAGTAATGCTTGCATTTTTCTCTTCATCTGTTGTCTCTATACCATTTTCTAAAATCAAGCACTTGGGTACTTTTGCTGGATCGTGGGAGGCCTCTGGTTTCACTGAATTCTCTTTCACATCAGGAGGAGAGGGTGCACCAGTAACAAGGCCTCCATTTACTTTGATTTTTTCATCACTGTGTGATTTGTCTTCCGAATTACCATTAGTAAGTGAAGAAACTGAAGCTTTAGAACAATCAGAAGAAGTCGATGGGGATGAATCTAATCTACCAAAGGATAAAACAGCTGAAAGAAAAATATAAACAAATGATTCGCATCTTAATATATAGTGTATCTCAGTTCATTGCAAGAAGTACAATAATAATGATAATAATAATAACAATAATATTAACGATAATAATAATATACACTTATATAGCACCTTCCTCTTAGTGATCCAAAGCACTAATTTACAACACTAATAGTAATAAACCTATTAAAATATTACAATGACTTAATTGTTAAAAAAACATGTATTACAACTGAAAAGCACGCTTAAAAAGAAATGTTTTGATTTTTTATTTGAAAGTGCTCTGCTCAAAACATGTGTGTAAACTGACTAGAATGGAATTTCATATCTTAGGAGCTGCATGTCAAAACGGTCTGTAACCATAGGTTTTAAGGTTATACTTAGGCTGAAACTAGGAGTCCTTTATTTCCAGAGCGCAATAAGTTTCACTTCTGTCGAACTGACACCAAGAGAAGGAAGACTGAATTGTTTGAATTGTAGAGGGCATCAGTTTATAAATAACAATAATTATACTACTACATGAGAAATTTCTGCAATTTGATTGGCTTCAAGCAGTGGTATTTCAGCTTAATTTGAAATACCTACTTGTGAAAATTACAAAACATTTGTGGTTAGTAGTATAAACAAATAATAGCATGATTTGTACGTGACATTTGGCATAAATACCACGCTTGATATTTCAAAATTGTCTCAAATTTCACTCGCCTAAAAGCCAATGAAATTACATATATCAATTTCGAAATATCACCGTGGTATTTATGCTAAATATCACTACAAATCATGCGATTACCTATACTAATGATAATAATAATAATAATTAAAGTCAGGGTTTGAAGGCCTTCATAGAGCATATACCTCTACCCAAACTTCCCTTGAGTGACCCCCTTACCCCTAATATCGGACCCTGCACTCGCTTGTCTTGTCTCTCCAGGGGTTTTTCATCCTCGGAGACCCAGGGGCAGATAGTGGGGAATTTCAAAAAAAATTACAAAGAAAAAAAGAATGGAGACACCCCCTGGGGAGTTTGAGACCAGTTCCAAGCAGTTTTTCTGACTTCTGATTGGTGCCAGAAACTTGTGTCTTTCTGGTACCAATCAGAAGTCAGAAACTTGTGTTTTTCTGGCACCAATCAGAAGTCAGAACGACGGCGACCGTTTGGAACTGGTCTGGTAAGACATTGTCCCCAGGGGCTCTTCTCACCATTCTTTACTTTTCTTTGTGCCATATTTTTCCGCCCGTTTAGACTTTCCCCTGCCCCCACTATCTGCCCCTGGGTCTCCGAGGATGGGGGTTTTTAACCTTGCATATTCATACTCAAGTCTTTGTTCCAGATGTTTTATTGTTCAAGTTCAAAGGTTAAATACTAATTAAACCGGTGGTAACTTATTGGGGTAAGATATCTTCCCTGAAGCCCCATACATTTAATATGCATTCATGTTTCAACTCTATTCTGTCCTTACAGGATTTTGCAAATAAATTATGTAGATGTAGATGTAGATGTAGACATTCATAACTATTTGAGCTAAATGGCATGAAATTGTTGCATGCATAATAAATTTACAGGGTTGTACGGAAATCTTTCCAAATTTATATTGAAATAGGGCCCAAAGGTAAGATTAAAGCCTTTTAGCGGATATTTTGGATAAAAGCTATTTTGGCTTTCGTTACTTTTTACATTTGGCGCATAAGTTCGTCAAATTGTCGCATAAGCTCGTCATTTTGCTCGTGCATTCAGTATGTTTTTTCCTCTATAAAGCGACGGTCCCCTAAAAGTAACGAAAGCCGATGTTTTTGCACGCATTTTAACAAACCTTGCTTGAGTCTTTTGCATGGTGGACTTGAACAATCATCTCTATCCGATTCCCTTGCAGTTGCTATAAAGCATAAACACAGATCCAAAACGTTAAGCTCAAGTTGTTGCAACTAAATCCGAAAGAGGCAAATTTATTTTAGCAGACTGCACTTGATATGAAATTTTACAAAACCTACCTTTGCTTGTTGTTTCGCTTTGAACACGAACTTCAGAGCTTTCACCGGGATTTCTCATAGCTTCAAGCTTTTTAAGGTAACTATTACACCAAGCAAAATGTAAAGAAACAAGAGAAAAAGAGAGAAAAAGGCGAGAAAATAGAAAAGAAATGATCTCAAGCGAAGATTTGTGTTGAAAGTAGTGCGCTCTTCAAAAAATGGCGGGAAGTGCATTTTCTGATGAACTCTGGGAAGGTATGTGTGATGAGAGGTCTGGGTCTGAGAGGAAGAAAAGGGAATACATACATGACGTAGTTTAATACAACTGCGTTTGGATGTGACTTCTTCCAACAGAATAATGAATGCTCCCGAGTCATTTGAGCCTTTCCTTTTGTATGACGGGGAAAAAAAGTAAGTGAAACAACCTGGGATAGTCGAACATGTGGCCTTTGTAAATGACATTTTGTTACGACATACTTCTATATAAAAACTTAAGTCGGTGAAGCTGGAAATCTTCCATGCTCACCATGCATGATATTCAATGCAAATTCACTTGTTTTTGTTTAATAAGCTTAAGCTTATATAAAACTTATGTTAATAACGAGAAATAAAACGTGAGGGTTAACGAGCATGTTTAAACTTTTGAGGAATGGTATCAATTATCTATCACAAGTCAGTAATGATGAAATTTATCCTCAGAATCACTATATCCAAGGACACCAAAGTTCCAAATGCAGCACACTTTGTAGTTAACAAGGAAGATCACACATTAGGAAATCTGCTCAGAGCGTAAGTTATTAAAAGTTTGCCATTTCACAGATGGCATCATATTGTAATATCCCTTTAAAACTTCAAAGGAAGTTATAGTCGAACCTCCGGCAACCAACCACCCAAAAGGTAAGAGGCTGTTTCTCCCGAAAGTCGATTCTCCTGAAGTTGCTTCACCCAAATTAAGGTAAGTCGATTTTCCCGATGTGTATTTGTTGTTCTTTAAGCCTGGAAAGAAAAAAAACATGAAAAGACAGTGCAGGGCCTCAAATGAATGCCGGTCAACAGACAACGGCCGGTCAGAATTGGGTATTGACCAGACAAATCCTTGGATCGCCGGACATGTGTTGCGGTCATTTACTCATTCAAAGAAATTTTGATTTTTAACTATTTGATAATCATGAGGGACAACATTCATGTTTCTAAAAGAAAAAAAAAACTAATATAAAACTAGACAAATTAGTGGTTGAGAAATTCCTGGTAGTCGCAAGTTTCCACGATATCATCTAGTCCTGTCATCTAGTCCCGTCGAGACTGCATATCATCATGTCTTCCACTATTTTTTTTACCTTAAGTGTTCCCAGTAAGTAGAGGGTTTTACCCTTGGCTACATACCATTGACTCTTAAATAAAGAGATTGATTGTTTGACTGATTGATTGGAAAGCACCCTTACGAAGAATAATGTCACTGCACTGAGAATACCCTGCGTAGCATTTGTTGCAAAGAAAAAGCCCCAAAACCTGGAAAATCCAACCACCCTTTTACTCTAAAATGTAATATTCTAATTGCTGCGGAGCGACCGAAGGGAGCGAGCAGCAACATAATCAGGATTTAAAGGAAATATATAAAGGGGTGACGAATTCTCGAATTCATCACTTTTTACCACAATGCATTGCATTTAACCACACTTTTTACCACAATGCATTGCATTTAACCAGAGTGCATTGCGCCACGAGCAACTCAAATAAAAACACGGGGGAGTTGTGCATCGTTCGCTGCTCAGTTCTACAGCACGGTTAGAGGTCTTACAAATTTTAAGACACGCAGGAGTCTTTCAGATGAGTACGATGGTTAACTTGGGGAGTGGATTTCAATTCAAGAGCCTTTGACTCGTCCAGGTGTTAAACCTGACGAGAAGATGAGCATTTGCTCTTCGACTCCGCAACACGGAGGATATACAAATTCCAGCTTGCTAGAAGGTGATGTGAAAGTGAGCAAATGTCATGTAATGCTATTCTTAAGAAACTGTATGAGCCGAAAATGGATGTGATTTTGACCATTCGCTTCAAAATAACAGCGGAAATCGAGATAACAAAACATATGTTTTGTGTCCTACTTTGCAGACCAGGACGTGTATCGGCGTTTTGAAAAGCATAATTATGTTCTTTCATTCATTCATTGCCATGGAATATGCGTTTATATGGTTTTTTCACTGTTAATAGCTCGGTTAATGCGGCTGGCGATCATCTTGCCGGCGGAAGTTTCATAGAAAAGGAATAAAATGAAACACTTTTCCCGGAAATTACGTAATCAGCCTCTGTGGTGTAGTGATTAGGTGTAGTCGCGTCGAGTCGAAGGTGCCGGGTTCGAGTCTTACCTAATTGTTTATTCCTGATTTCTTTTTTTTTTCCTTTTTTTTGTTGTTGTTTTCTATAAATATATAGCTAAATAACTGTTACTTAATAAAGTGCAACAAACAGCAAGAAAAGTATTGTGTTTCCAGAGAAAATATCGTGCACTGTATATTAAATATCTGGATAATCAATCTCAATTTCTATTATTTCCTACAGTTTACTGTGGGAAAACCAGAGTTGATAACCACTTGATCATTTTCTAAACAACGTTCCCACGAGTTCTTTCTATAGACTGATAGTAATTATTCTAGTACTTTCCAACATGTAAATAGGACATTCAATGTCATTTTTGATTCTTTTAAGTCTCACTGCCTAATTAATGCCAGTATCAACAGAATGTGCCGCAGCATTACTATCTTTTAGATACCCTAGTAATTATAAGTAATTTGCAAGATGTAAACAAAAGGTCGCGGTTGTATCTTGCATTACTGGTCCACATATGTGAGGCTGCTTCTGCAATAAAGAGCAATAGAACTATTAACTTGCCCTTTTTATTGCCAAATCGACTTGGATTCAGTTGGTTTTTAGTTAAAAAAAGGTTTACTGTGTAATCTGGGTTCATTATTGCAAGAGTTACAACTGTTGCAATTTGACCGGCCAAAAACGGGTCATGTCCGAGCAAAAACATGTTTGACAGGACAACATGACCGGCACCTGCCCGGCCTTTATTTGAAGCCCTGCAGTGATAGACATAGTGATTGTTGTGATTGCTGAGTTACATGTAGACTTCAGTTTTTATGTACAGTCTTTCATTGTCTCAAATAATGTTATGATCATCGAGATGGCTAAGATTGTTCAGATCGCCGACCATTTTTAGCAGTCACAAGGGTGTGCTCTAACGGCGCCCGGTCGCCTGAGGCGACCAACATTTAGCTTCGGGCGACTGAAAAAAAGTTCCCGGTCGTTCGGCCGGGCACTCTTGCTTCTGGTGCAGTGTTCAGTTAAGCGGGCAGAAAAATTTAACATGCTAGTGTTGGCTTATTGAGTCAGAGTTTACTAAACCCGACAGAAAATGTTTTGACGAATGTTGTACGAAAGAAACGGGCGCGCGTCGATGTTCAAAAGTCGTGCTGCATGATTTCACACCTAACATAATCCATCACTTTGAACGTGACAAGCGGCACGGATTTCGATTTGTACTGCTTTTTAAAATAGTTTTAAATTTTTTTCTTTCAGATAGAACGGTTCATTAGGTACAGTTTTTAGGAGAAACTGTCAATACTTTTCTGACAGACATAGAGCATGGCTGGTGACGCGGAGTAAATTATTTTTCTATAAAACGGAAGTTGCTGTATTGACCAGTATGCAAATGCAATGTTTTTACGGTTTTTGGCTGGTGTGTCTGCTTGGCTAAAACATAACTTATGATTGTTTTCTTCCCTTTACATGAGATAACAAAATGCAAAAAGAAAAGATATGATCGTTCTGATCGTTTTTATTGTTGTTTTAGAAACAGGGCACTTCCACATTGTCTTGGTAAATTTGCATGCATGCATATACATGTATCGGCTAGATTTAGGGGCCCAAAAAATAAAAATAAAAACACGGAAAGAAGAGCTGGTTTACGCTTCGACCGTATCCACGAAAAGCTCAATTATCCTAAAAGATTCACTGATAATATAGAAAAGAAAATTAAAGATGACTTATATTTTATTAAAACAATGGGTTTGGGGCCGTGGCGGTTTCACTGTTTCACGGAATTTTTCACGGGACCTTGAGTTCGATCTGCCGTGTATAAAATTCCGTCACATTATATTTCAAGCTGCATTGATTCACGTTTTGAAAATGTTTAGTATTACTGGTTAAAAGCACAGTTTTCCTATGTTTGACCCAAAGATCTTGATGCAGTTTACGTAATCCTGCTGAAATTTATTACTTTTCCCTCTTTAAAACCTAAACAATTTGGCAGCATTACTCACATTTCTGGTTTTAAATCTGAATGGCACAAAAACTTTGATGGGTTTCATAAGACAACATGCGGGTTTTTGTGGAACCCAATTTGGCAAAAGCTAAAATTACCGAGTTTGGTGATCAGCAGGCCAGTAAGATTCGTGTGCGTACAAAATACTTCCTCATCGGATGTACTCGGGCGACCAACTTGAGAGGCCTGGACACCCCAGCTGGAATGCTTTGGAGCCCAAAGGGCTCCCCAAAGTTTTTATTCGGGCGACCAACTTTGAGGTCTGGGTGCCTTAACTAAAATGCTTGGGAGCCCCAAGGGCTCCCTGAAATTTTCCTTAGAGCACAGCCTTGAGTCATAGCAATATTATAGAGATCAATAGAATCCAAGCTTAACTAAAAACAGCTCTGATTTTAAAGCTGTGTTGTAGAGTGTAGTTGTCAGCGGGCGAATCGACTTGTGTCCATGTGAAACGACCACAATTCACTCAAAATGTGAAGACTTAATGGTTGCTTACAGGAGGTGGTCATTTACAAGAATCAAACCACAGGGGGCCTCTTCTGAGAAGAAGTCCTCTGACACATTGACTAGGATGACAGATGATTTATCGCACACTATTTCCAAGCTACAATATGTGTAGTTCTATGTTTTTGTTAAAAGTTCTCGGCATACTTTAAGTAACTCAGTACATAGAGCAAATGTAGAGATCAGAACATATATAAAATGGTGGCTTACAAGATGTTAAAAACAATAGAAAATTATTTCAGCCCTGAAAAGTGGTCATGATCGCTTAAAGGAAGTAGTCGTTTACAAGAGGTCCCAACTGTAATGCTATGACGGGGAAATTGTGGTGTTGCTTATGAGATGTGATCACACATGGAGGTTCGACTAGTTACAAATGTCAATCATTTTTCCTGTCCATTGTATTAGCCATTGTAAGGTTTCTTGTGAAACTGGGCCAGTGTTATGTTAAATTGCACTGTGGGACTATTCCAATAAAAGAAGCAATGGCGCCCTGAAACATTTCCATACAGCACTCCAAGCTGTGACCATTTTGGTCACCATGGCAAGTATGGGCCGTCCAACCATCCCAATCTCATCAGGTCTCTCCGGATTTTGTTTGAGAATCCCAACCAATTTAGCGATCAGGATAGGAAAAATCCAGATTTAACATCTCTTCTGTTTTTTTCAAATGAATTTTTAGGATGCTTACAAATTTATACAAGAACACCTAAGAGAGAATACTTAACTGAAACAGATACCCAGAAAATTTTAAATTAAAAAGTTTAGTACTTGTACATGAAGGCATGCAAATAGCCTGAGAAAACAGCCAACATTAATTTTGGTAAAGCCACCACAGGTTTCCTGCAAAAAGACGTCTGAGAAACAAGTGCAGAAATCCCATACTGATGACGCATCACTGCCCAGATCTAGGTAGTCCTTCTCATTAGTTGAAGCAAATTTTCAGCCAATCAGATGCACTAACCCTGATCTCGGTAGTGTTGCGTCGTCAGTATGGAATTTTTGCACTCTTTTCTCAGGTGTCCTTTCTCAGGGAAACCAGTGGTGGCATCACAAAATCCCAGTTATGATGATTGATTATTCAGTTGCAGTAAATTTTTCTGTCAACATGTGTGTTTTGTCATGTTAGTTTGCTTAAACATAAACAATTTTTATGTTTATGATTTTTCACAGGCAGTTGTTACGAGATCCACAAGTTTTATTTGCTGGTTATAAAGTTCCCCATCCTCTGGAGCACAAGTTTGTTCTGCGTGTTCAGACTACTCCAGACTACAGCCCTCAAGAAGCATTTACTAATGCTATTACAGATCTGATTAGTGAGGTCTCCCTCTTAGAGGAAAGATTTAAGGTTTGATAAGTTTACTTCTATCACATGTATGTGTGTTATAACCCCTTGAACAGGGTCAAACCAAGAATTTGTTTTGTCTTTTAATTTGCAAAAAACAGCAATAACCACTGCTTGGTAGATTTGATCAGCTAATGAAACATACACATTAACATGAATTATATATACTTGCCAGCTTTTCAAAAAACAAAATATGCATGGGATTCTTGTCCCCACGAGGGTCTCCCATAGGGTTTTTTCAATCCTGTAATCCCAACAAGCTTTTTTTCTCTTATTTCCACAATCCAACACTTTTTTTGCCTTATCCTGTTCCCAAACATACATGATGTTGATTCTTCAAAAAAGCATTATAAACTGTATTTGACAAAATCAGCATAATTTTGAAATAGGAAGTTTTGACAATTAATGTTGCAGAGGTAACCTTTCTTAATTCCCTCATTTTGTCGGATTAACCAACCATTAAGTGAAAAATCCATTGATACCAGATTGTTAGAACTTTTGGTCCAAAACTGAATGAATCGGTTCTGTCCAACTGGAAGAGTTTTGAAAAGAAGCCTCATCGATGATAAAGGTGGACCATGTTTTCCTCAACAGGACTATCCTCATCAGGACACATCGGCTCCTTTCAGAAATTTGCCTTGATTCTGTTTTTTTTTTTATTTTTGTCTCCATGTGCCAACGTTTCCAAAAGTTTAAACTGAATGGATTGAAGCAGTCTGACCCAACATTTGCCATGTCTACTTTAATATCCTTAGAGGAGAATTCATGGAGGTAGTCAAAAGTTGACCTCAACTCACCTCCTTGAAATTCTCTCCAGAAACTTTTGTTGAATGGATACCATAACAAGTTGGGGGTTTGGTACCCAGCAAAAAAAAACCTGCCCCATAACACAATCTTACTAGAGTCAAGAGGGTTTACTTTGTCATAAAAGAGTAATAATTTCGAGTCAGTTGTACATAAATTATGAGTCTTTTGTTGTTGTTTGCAGGCTGCAGTCAGAGACAAGCAAGAGGGTATAGAGTAATAAGAAGTGTGAAGAGTAGGATACTTTGCATCATTAGTGACGAAAAGTAGACTTGTGCTCTTATTAAGCACACTAGCTAGGATAAGGTGCTACCATCAGTTGTTCATCATTCATGCAACCCTTTAACAAGCATCAACAACTGGACTGGGCTACTGAACCCTGTCAGTTTCTTGGTTACAGAACTGCTTTACAGAGCACATGCAGAAACATGTACATAATTTAGTAATAAAAGCATCCAGTTACTCCATTTGCTATGTCAAAATATTTTATTAATTTCCTTCTTTAATATTTCTCACCAAATATACCAGTATCTTGAGTCCAGTTTCAGAGAGCATTTGTTTCTCTAAAGCAGATATTCAAGGGTGGGTTCATTTGACAGTACAGTATTTTATTATAAGAAAAATAGAGACATGTTTTTTTTTATATCTCTTTTTCCCTGCTAGAAGAGGAGGAAGAAGAGTCTCTTTTTCTCCCACCTGATGAATACCAGGGAAAGAGGCTCTGCTAACAGTGAAGGGATTTGCTACATGCATGTAATACTGTATTTCAGGCAGATTTGCAGTATTTATAATTTAATGAAGCGATGGAGTGATTTCTAGAGATTTTCCATTTATTATTCTAGAAATACAGTCAAATGAATGCACCATAGCAATGGCTCTAAAAAAACTAGACACTATTTCTCGAATTTGTTGCATTTTTTAAATTTGAACTTAATAAACTAATAACGGAGCTTTTAGCAAAACAATTGAGAATAAAAATTAGCGATAGCAATGAATGATATTTCAGTGAATCCATGTCATCATATTCATTCAAGAACTACACAAGTTTGAAAATGATGATATGGAGTCATCTAAACATCAGTCATGGCTATCACTAATTTTTGTTCTCAATTGAACTTAATATAATATTCTTAACCTTACTGTTGGGTAGTACATTTTCATTTACTATGTTTTTTATCGTCATTTCTTCCAGCAATTACTTGACAGTTGTTAACTAGTTTTATAGGGTACTTAAATATTAAAGACATCCTTCTAAATTTCTGTTAAATGAATACCTAAGTTACACTTTTAATTATTTATTAAGGCCTAAGACATGTTATGACTACTAAAAACACAACATAAATCTACTTTAAAGCTTCTAGAACTTGAGATGAACTGTTGTATTATTATCTTGATTGCATCCAACAGTCATCCATTGGTGTTGCTTGGCAATGATTAAAACCTTGCCACAACAGCTGGAACACAAGAGAAGAACAAGTGAGGTTTAAAAGGGTGGGAACTAGAGGGGATTGGAAAGGGGGAAGATAGTGGTGGAAAGTGGTAGTTAAGAGGAATAATCGAAAATAGGAAAAGCTTGAGAAACTGTTTTAAACAATGTGATGGGAACTGAGAGAAAAAAGGAAGGAACTGAAGAAGCAGAAAGCAGAGGTACAAGCAAAGAGGTTAAGAAATGGAAGGGGTTTTGATGAGAACTTGCAAAACACAGGGGACCAGGAAATGGGAGGTAAACAGCTGCTGGAGCTGAAAAAAGGGGACAGGAGTGCAGTTACCGATAGAGAAGTTGAATTAAGACAGCTTGAATTTATATTCTTACATTTCCTTCCTGCCATGATACTACAGCAGGTACTGGCATTTCCTGTGGCATAGTGTAACCCAATAGACTATGCTGAACTGGAGGGATGTATTGACTGAGTAAACGTGCCATTGTCTGAAAAAGACCAAAACCAATGAAATCATGTTAGTCAAGAGTGATTTAGTAGGATATTTTTTTGGAACTATGGTCCGAGAAAGTCGTACCTTTCGTTTCACTGCTACATCAACTTGCAAGGCTTTACCATTCCACTCCACCAACCTCTAAAAAAAACATCCTGATTAAGTCTTAACATAAGGTTTACATTTAAAACTTTACTTAGAAAGAATTAAAACTGCTTAAGTTACATTGATGTTACTGTGGGGATACGTACCATTTCTTGAACTTTTCTAGCTTCTTCAGCAGTTCGGAAGGTGACAAAACCATACCTGTAAATTCCACAGAATAACTAAAATTAAAAGTTGTATTTAACTCTCTCATGTCACATTGCTTGAGATTCTAAAACCCCATTGGCCAAAAAATGAAACCCTTGTAAGTTTTTTCTATATTTTAGGTGGATGTCGGAGTAGGAAGGGGTTTTTACTGAAGTTATATAGACTGCAAAAGATAGTTGAAAAGCCATTTATTGTCTTTTAACTTTAAACTCCTTTGCATCCAGATTCTTCTTCCTTCAGTAAAACATTGCCACTGTTACCCATCACCAATAACATATAGGTATTAGATGAAAACAGGGAAATAAGATTTAATATTATTCTTACCCTTTAGAAGCTCCAGTCCGGATGTCTTCAACGATCCTCACATTTTGCACCTCATAGCCCATTTCCCCAAACAAAATTTCTAACTGCAGTTCCGTCATCTATACAGAGAATGTAATATAAGCTTAAAGAAATTGTAATACAAGGCCCAAATTAAATTCTGCTGGCATAAGCACCCTGGCACAAAATTTTTGGCAAAAAGATAGCGTGCTTATTATTACATTGGGGAGACGCCCCATGAAAGAAGGCAATATTGCCTTCTTTCATATATATATTGGTGCCTTGCGTGGGTTGCCGTTGCCTTGTTTTGACGTTTGAAGTGCTTACCGTAAATCCTCTGTCAAGCCCCCCCTCCCCTAATTATTCTACACTAAAGAAATGATAGACTGTGTTAACTAATCCACGACTGTAAAACTTCATGTGGACTGATCCGGGATGGTTTATTTACCTACTGGAAGTTCGCATTTGATTCTGATCCTCACGGCTGCATGACCTCCAACGCCTTGTATTTGAGGTTTTCCACTTTGTATTCTAGTTCTTATACAGAACTGATACCATTGTCTTAAATAAGCCCCTTGTCTCTATTGAGTCCTTCCCCCCTCAAATGGGATTGAAATAAATGAGCCCCCCTCTGGGGGACGTTTAGTAGAGGATTTACAGTAATTTTAAATGTCTTTTAAAGAAAGGTATGAAAAGTTGGTTTCTCAAGGTCAGCTTGGCTCGATCCCTCCATAATAAAACCGGTCCTGATAGCCAACACATTGAAAGCTTGAAAGGGAATAAATCAGTGAATATGTCTGTATGCGAAATGAAACCTTATCTGTAAGTCCCTTCTGAACCATCAAGCCCTGGCACAGCTGCGAAGTGTCAAGAGAGTAGGCATTTAGCACCCTTTCTCCTTCATTTGATTCACTCCACCAATTTTGGTTCAATTTGTCACCTTTAACCTCAAACCAAAGTTATCCCTTGAAGACTATGCATAAGTTGCTACAAGCATTGGTAGGATAGATTACCGTGTTTGGAATGCCTCTTATGAAAACACGATTTAAGACATAAATTCCATGGTCTGTCCACACTTCCTGCATCATGGCAAATACGATGAACTGAATATAAGAAAAGAAAGAGTGATTGGGTTGATGAAGTGCTTTTCTTGGTGGTTGGGCATGGGAGCAGTAAAGCTTAGTTCGTAGCATTTTATGACATAAATGAGGGAAGAAGCCTAGGTGGAGGACCTACAACCCTAAAAAAACTAAAATAAAAGATGCCTATCCATTTTTAACCCTTAGGGCACTCCCCATAACATTTACCAATAAATGAATATATGCCACACCCCCTGGCCCACAGGGCACTCCCCAGGGGGGAGGGTACTCGGGATTTCAAGTGACGGAAATGATCGAATGGAGCCAAAAGTCAAGACCCAAAAAAATCCCTAGGGCTTCCAGCAAAACCCAAAAAAATCCCATGCCGGGCACACGGGACAATGCAGACTATTGTATAACACGTGCGATGTAACTGTGACACCATAGTAAACAACAGTATTAAACAACAGCAAAACACGTTTGTTTGTACTTTATTCGCAGAACTACGCAGCCAGGGCACTACCGATTCTTTTTAATACCCCCAAAAAAATCCCTACTCAAATCAAGCTATCCAAGCCAAATTTTTGTACCCAAAAAAATCCTGGAATTGAAAATTTCAAACAAAAAAAAAATCCTTCGATCATCCCCGTCACTTGAAATCCCAAGTACCCCCCCTGAGGGGCACTCCCGGGCTTCAGGTATATCAAAGGGTAAGGAATTCACAAGTTGGTTTTGATATAAATTTATGCTGAACAAAATAATGGACACAAGGTTTCCATCACTGACATAATATTTTTTTCTTCGCAGATCTGGCCCGAATGTTGCAAAGTGTAGGAAAATTTACCGTTTAACTATATATAACTGGTTGAAACATGGGGTAAGCCTCCCTGTATAAAACTTTGTCGAGAGCCCCCTGGGCCACACCCACTTCTTGTTCCCAGATTATGTATGATCCCAATTAAATATCACTCCCAAGAAGAAAAAAAAGAAAGAATTATTTATGAACATTTTCACTGTTCTTAATTATCCCAATAATAAAGTTGGTTTAACTGTGAAGGCTCTAGTACTTGAACTGAGAGTTTGAAAGCAAATAATGAGTAGAACCTGGATCTCATTTTTGCTATGAAAATGGAGGAAACTTCCATGTAAAAGGAATGGGGATTATTCTTTAAAAAAAAACTGAATAATTCAATTATTGAAACCCCTAAAGGAGACCAATCTGCGTGTAGATTAAGCTAATTATTTCACCCCCAATTTATTACAAAATAAATACCATTCTACAACAGACCATCCAAACAGGAGATTTTAAAACAAAGTGAACACCTGAAATATTTAGGGAATGTTGATTGTGTATTGGCCAATCACTACAATAACAATATTGTTTTACCCCCAAATTAATTACCATTGAGGTGCTTGCAGTTTAATTTTACTTTTTCCCCATGGGACATTTAGCATGATAGCATGACTAATTTATTCAGAGCCAGGTCACAGTCAACAAATCCGTTGCTAGGCGTTGTTAGCTTAAATTGTATTACCATATAAGTTACCGCTGGGCGGCTACCGCGGGCTCTGAAAA